TGAGAGCCTGTAGCCACGAGTCCTCAGCCAGCCAGAACCTGCCCAGGATGGTAGCTGAATAGAGACACAAGTTTGTCTTGATGGGGCCCAGGACAGAGCCACTGCTGTGGGGAAGCACAGCTCAGAGGGCTCAGCTGCAGCATGTCCCCTGGTCCTGGGTCACTGCCACTGGGGGTGGCTGCAACAAGAATCGGGAAGCCTGCGTGGCTCACAGGAGCAGTGATTTCAGCACTGCTCAGGCCAGGCTCTGCCTTGTGTGACACAGAAGCTGCAGCAAAACAGCAGCAGGAAAACATGGCCCGGGAGCTGGGAGTTGAGAGTTGAATCCCTTAACATGGGACCAGTGTCCTCTCCCCTCGGGTCCCCGCTGTTAGCGAGGGCAGAGGGGAACGGGACCCAACCTGCACTTGGTAACAAAGGCTGGGCCAGAGGCTGGTTGGGGCAGGAGAGGTGAGGTGAGGTGAGGGGCCATACCAGGCGGCAGAGGCAGGGTCTGGGGGTGGGGAGAGGGAGGGTATGGGGAGGAAGGGCCAAATGGGGCAGGAGAAGCATGGCTGGGGTGGGGATGGAGCAGCAGAGGCAGAGATGGGGGGTGGGCGGGGGAAGGCAGGGCCAGATGAGGCAGAAGGAGCAGGGCTGGGGTGGGGATGGAGCCGCAGAGGCAGGGATGGGGGGTGGGGGGAGGTAGGGCCAGATGGGGCTGGAGAAGCAGGGCTGGGGTGGGGGTGGGGATGGAGAGGCAGCGGCAGGGCCAGAGGGCTGTACTAAGCGGGCAGTGAGTGCTGCAGCAAGGGCAGAGTTTACAACCTGCTGATCTCAGCTCTTGTTCTGCTGAGTGGGGCCCTCCCAGCTGCCTGGCCAGCCGGCTCTAGCTCTTTGACCCAGTGCGATGGGGAAGGTGGGGTGGGGGAGCTCATTGAGTCCAGGAGCCAGCCCCACACATGCAGCCCCGACAAAGGAGATAATGACGCCAGCCTATGTCACATGCTGTGGCCAGCCGTGGGGGTGAGGGACAACCACAGCCTTCCTCTTCTGGAGCGGCTCCCGACCCAGCCCAAGGCTCCCATTCTGCCACTGTGAAAAGAACAGCGCTAGCAGCGACCCTGAGCCCAGAGCAGCCTGGGGTGAGCACCCTCTGCCTGCTGCACCCAACTAGCAGGGCTGCCCAGGCCCGGCTTTGCAATGGGACAGCCCAGACGGAGGGGAGCAGGACCCTGCTTGCCAAGCCACCCTCTCCTAAACTGCCAAGGGCGCCACAGCCTCACAGGGCTGCCCTTAGGAAGAGCCAGTGATCTCTACACAGACAGCACCAGGCCCAGAGACGGGCCCGTGCTCCAGACCTGGGGACTGGCAAAGGAGGCATGGGTGTCCACCTGTGCTGCCATTACCCTGTCGCTTGGCAGCAGTGAGGGGCATTTGTCTTCCAACCAAACTGAAGGCCTGAGCCCAGGAGACAGGCCTGGCTGGGCCTCCCGTCCCCTCCCAGAGCTCTGTGATAATCCACATCAACCCAGGAAGCCTTTGGCCGAATGCCTTGTTCTGCAGGGCTGAGGAGAGCGTGCACTGAAGTGCACCCAAGGCATTCAGGGGCGAGCACAGCCTGACTGTGCCAGCCCCATGGCCAGGCATCTCCTCCAACTCAATGGATGCTGTGTTGTCTGTCACATCTGCCAGTTTCCAGACCCCTGTTCGCGTTCCAGCTGCTGGGTGCGCTGTCAGACATACCCCCTCACACACTGCTTCAATTGCTCGGATTACAACTCTTGGCCAGCCCCACTGCTCACATGATGTCCCCCTTGCTGTGCTCCACACTAGTTCCACAGTCGTCCAGTGGTACAGGTATTGTTCCCTCTTGGGAGCCGGTCCATTCTCCCAGGGAGAGAGCCAGCCCAGGATCACTTTGACTGTCCATTTTGAAGACTTAGCTCCACTCCCATCTCCTGGTGCTGACCAGTTCTCAGTGACTTTTGCAACAGCCTTGTCAGGGGGCAGCAAGGCCTGCCTTGGGAAAGGTGTCCTCTAAGGTGGGGTGCCTACGTGGCAAGCCCTAGGGTTCTGCAGCGCTCATGGCACTAGGCGAAATCAACAGGCATTACAGAGATTCAGCCCCTCAGAGAAGCAGGCCACAGCTGTCTTGAGTTGGGCACCCAAACATAGGTCCAAGTTCACTGGCCAATCCCCCCCAGCCCCAAGGCTGACCGTGACTGAGACACAATGAGTGATCTGGGGCTAGTCACATTTTACAGCTCACTCCTTATTTTAGCTCCTCCTCGCACACGCTCACCTGGCACCTCCTGCTGTTCGGCAGCCAGCTCCCTTTTGCAGGTGCTGAGTGCAGTGCCCGGACTGACCAGAAAGGAGGGCTGCTGAGCACAGGAAGCTCTTCCCCCACCTGGAGCTGCGCATGCTGACTCCCTCCCTGCCACAGCGGGACACGTGCAGTTGCAGAGGAGGAGCAGCCGTTTGTTGCTCCCCATTCTGTGCCTCTGTTCAAAGTTTGCATGGAAAACACCTGCCCTTATTGCCCACCCCGCCCTATGTAATTGGCAGGCAAATGCACCACTGCTTGCAGTGTGTGCTGCTGGGAAGAGATGGTGTATTTGCTCTAGGAGCCATGTACTCTGAAAGCAGCTAGGTAACAAAGGAGCAGAACAAAGGGTGGCTGAATGCCAGGGGTCAGAGTCCAAGCACAGACCTTGGGTCAAATTCAGAGACGGTGTAAGAGGGCACAGCTCCCACTGACTTCACTGGGCCTGGGCCTGCTCCTAACAGAACTGGATGTGGCCCCAACGGCACTGAAGGGAAGGACAAGCCAGCAGACTGCACGCTGTGGATCTGTCTCTGTGCCTCTGAGCCCGTCTGCCCTGCCCCAGCAGAGGGGCCAGGAACCACAGCCAAACTCACTTCCCTGAGCATGCCCGCTGGCTGCTGAAGTGTTGCTGGGCTGCTGCCTTGGCAGTGGTTCACGTGCTGATGTCCCCAGCGCTGCAGGGAGGCACAGCAGAGCCCTTGTTCTCTGGCTTAGCACCGTACTGGCTGCCTGCTCCTGGGATGATGGAATGGAACTTGGCTGTGGCTCTCGCTTGCGCCGGCTCCTGTTTGCCTTGCAGGCTACGCTGATTCCCACCCTCTGAGTTTTCCCTTCCCCAGGTGAGGCAAGGCCAGAACGCCTCCAGGGGGATTTGAGCCCCAGCTCAGAGCTGGTCTCGTCACTGCCAAACGAACCCACATTGAGAGCAGGACCAAAGAATAGGAAGAGTCTGTGTCACAGATCCCAGGGAGGAGCACAGCACCAGCTAACTTTAACAGCACCCCCCCACACACACATTAACCTCAGGCCCTGTAAATGACCTCCAAGTGGACCCCACAAATCCACCCGCAGCCGTGAACATGAGTGATGCCAACCCAGCCTGAAAACAGGTCCAGGAAAAGTCCCATCCCCCAACATTGCATGACAGAGCCTTGTCTAGAGCTGGCCCGGGTGGGCTCAGGCTCCTAGCCTCAGCAGCGGCATCTTATCCTTCTGGCTCCACCAAGTCCTTGTTGCCAACGGAAACTTCATCACCCTGACCCATCCTGGGATTACGGCCTGAACCCCTTCCCCAGTGACCATGTGCCCTGCTTTACTGGGTCTGGACTGGTGTGCTGTGAGAATGTGCCTCCCAGCCCCTCCCCCTGCCCACTAATGCCCGAGTCAGGCATCAGCAATGGAGGTAAACCCTGGAGCAGCCAGGGATTAGCTAAATAGATAACACTGAGCCACCACGGAGAGCCAGCTCAGGCACACCGGCTCCTTTGGCCTGGGGGGATTGAAGGGGAACCCAGCACTAGAACAGCAGGGGTTTCAGGCTGGGTTTGAGGGTCATCGGCAGATGGGTGTGAGGGAAGCGCCCTGGGCTGGAGTAGCCAAGGGCTGTGGGGGCTGAAGGGCATCAGCAAGCCTAGAGGCAGGGGGAACTTGGCCAACTCCTGCCTGTGCTGTGGTTGTCTAGCCAGCACTATTAGCTCCCCAGGGTATCTCAAGTGCCCCCTGCTCCCTCCTAGCCCCAGCGCCTCTTCCTGGGGCCGTGTGCGCAGGGATCCTTCCTCTTCCCTCCAGGGACTCTGCTGTTCTGCTCATTTCACAGCAGTGAGGGCCTTTAGCAGAAATAAGAAGTGAAAGCGGAATGAGGGGATTCTGCTTCGCCTTTTCCCTGGGGGTCTGAGTGAAACCAGCGCTGGCCGAGGTGTCACTTCCCTCTCCTGCGGGGAAGAGACCTGGGGTCAGGCTTCGACACTCACACAGGATGGGATGGGGACCCCTTACATAGACACAGAACAGCAGGAAATCCCTTCTGTTTGTAGGCCCTGCAATTATTCCAGGGGGAGGAGCAGCAACATGCTCCTTTGGCCTGAGCTCTTGATACAGGCTTCCAAGTAAGTGTCCGACCACCAGCACTGAGCGTGGGTGGGTGTTTACACACGTGCCTGGGAGGGGGGCTGTCCCTGGGCTATCTGTGCACTGCACCTGTAAGGGGAGAGGATTCTCCCTGCCCCAGGTTGTAGTTCCATGTAGATGCAGAAGGTTGCAGTGAATAGCCACTACCCCCCGCCCCCCTTCCCCGGGAGAGACTTTATATTCTTCCTTACCCTGTCGCCCAGACTGCCACTCATCTGCCACTTGTGAATGGGGGAAGTAACAAAGGCATCTGGCAGGCAGGCACCGGGTACAGTGTAACTGGGCTCCAGGGAGGCACACCTGTGCTAGCTCAGGGAACACTAGCAGGGAAGACCCAGACCCTGGGTGCGTACTCAGGCTGCCCGCCCTCGCTGGAGTCCCTGCCAGGGTTACCGCTGCTGGCCGGGACGTGTGGTGGCCCGGTGCCAGGCTACCCGCTGGGCAGGGCGCCCGCTCCCCCCTACGGTGCAGCCCCTCGGTGCCATGCCCCAGGCTGTCTCGGGCGCTGGGCGCGGTCCGGGGGCCAGTCCCGAGGGGGGTCGACGCGCGCTCCGGGTGGGCGCCAGGGGCGGGGCTGGGCGGAGCCCGGGGCGGGGCGGCGATGAATGGAGCGGGCTCGCCAGCCCGGCCGGCGGCGCGATGATCGCGGTGTCTATCCCCGCGGTGGGGCCGGGGGCCGAGCCCGAGCCGAGCCCGGAGAAGACGCACACGGTGAGGGGGCCGAGCTGCTCCGGTCCGGCCCGGGGGACCCCGGGCTGCGCTGGCTCCTTTCCCCGGTTCCCAGCCGCTACGCCCGGTCCCCTTGGCCAGGGCTGCGTCGCCCTGGGGCACCCGGGCTGAGCCCGGCGCCCACTTGCGGCCCGCGGCTGAGGGGCCCGGCGAGGAGGGCTCCGGCGCCCGGCTCAGCCCGCCCGGGACCGCACCTGGCTGCGGGGAGCTGGCCTGGGGTCGCGGAGGTGGCGCTGCGGGTCCAGGGCCGAGTCGCTGCGGCCCGTGAGCGGACCCCGCAGGTGCCGAGTCCCGGGGCCGGGGCCCGGCGCAGGCCAGGTCCGCAGCCAGGTCCCGTCACGCCGGGACCTCGCTGCCCTCAGCCGGGGCGGGTCGGGGAGCCGGGGCGAGCCTCCGGCCGGGGGATCCGAGGGTGCCCTGCCGGGGGACCGGTGCACTGGGGCCAGCAGCCAAGGAGCCTGAAGTGGGACACAAGTCGGGGGGGGGGATGGGACATGGAGACGCCAGAGCTTCTCCCTTCGCCTAGTGCCCGGGCTCCCGGCCCTGGCCCCGGCCCCATTAATGAGTAACAGAAATCCGAGTTGGGCTTGTTCCGCCCTGTGGCGGGACCAGCCCGCCCGCCGCGGCTGGCCCAGGGCTCACCTGGCTCCTGCTGCCGGGGCGCGGGGTTTGTGGCAACTTCTCCGGGCGCAGGAAATTCTTTATAACCCGCTTCAGGTTCTGCCCTGGTGGCGGTGGGGGAGGGGCAGTGGCAATGCGGCTGCAAAGTGCCCCCCCCCCCGGGAGACAAACCCCGCTGGAGAGATCAGAGGGTTGGAGGAGGAGGAGCCAGGTCCGTAATTAGCGGTTCCCATCCGACAGCTGCTCAGACCCCTCCGCAGGGAGAGTCTCAGCCAGTTAATAGTAAAGGAGCGACCCATGGCTTTTTCTCCCTCTCTGAGGCACTAGAGATCCTCCTCCCCCCGGGGGGCTCCGTGAGCCAGGGCCTGTCCCACCCCCCTTGCTGGCACTCTCAGCAGTCCCCAGGGCCGTGCTGTCCCAGCCCTCTCCTGCCCAGCGGGCTGAGAGTTGTGTGTGTTTGCCAGCCTAGGTGCTGCTTTCCCGGGGTCTGACTTGGGGGTCTCTGCAGGAGCCAGGAGCAGCACTGCAGCTGGCTGGGGGCTCAGGAGCTGTGGCTTGTGGATTGACCCCTCCCCTCCCACCGCCGTTCAGCAGCCTGTAAAAGCTACAGGGCTTGGGGCTGGCGTGTGGCATAAGCACCAGTCCCTGTCTGGTTATAAACATGCCAGTCCTCTGTAGGAGAGAGAAAGGGTTAAACCCTTCCCATAACTCCTTCATAGCTCGTCCCTCTGCATGGGAGGGCAATGGAGCAGGATGAAGCCAAAGCCCAGAGAAGGGCCCCCACCAGGCCCTTCTATGGCATCAGTCAGCAGCCTGTCATCATCTCCTCCCTGCTCCAACCACACTGATAAGGTGGGACTGTCAAAAATTGCCAATGCCGACTATATTTCAAGTTGTCATGGTGGGGTATTGGGAAAAGTTTTCAATTAGCAATAATCACGCCTCGGATTAACCTCATTGGCTACGATACTGCCACTGCAAAACTCCCTGGCCTGCATGGCTGACTGGCAGCAGCGCAGCCTGGGCTGGGGATTTTAGTTCACTTTCTCTCTGTTCCTTCCTCTCTCCTGCAGCCCTAAGCCTGAGGAGTCTGCGCTGGCCTATGGGCTCCCTGCCTTCCCCAGGAGAGCAGGCTGCTGAAGAAGCCCCATGTGGTGCCAGCCAATATACTCAATATTATCCCAACTGGCTGATTCGACAGCCCCTCCCCAGCTCTGACCCCAGCCAGTGGCTGTCTGTCTGCCCAGCTATTAAACATTCCCCCCTTCACTTCCTGCAGCTAGGGAAGGCAAGTGATCAAACTTCCCCTCCTGCCTACACTATCTGGGCCTGCTCTGCTTTGCAGTCCCCTGTGTCCCGGGTCAGCATCAGGCTGAGAGTAGAGGGCAGATGGATGCAGGATCCAGGAATGGTCTCACTAGTGCTGTGTGTAGAGGCAATACCACTCCCCACTCCTGCTGTTCCCCTGCTTATAAATCCATGGAGCACACTGGCTGTCTTAGCTACAGTGTCCTTCTCTGCCTGCCCAAGCTCTGTTTATGCTGGGTCAGTCTCCCTTCGTGTCCTGCTTCTGCTGGAGAGCCTCACCCTGACGTGACCGGCAACAGGGTCTGCCTTGCTGCACCTGTGCTTGGCCAGCAGCCCAGCACTGGGTGTCGACCTGAGGGACTTCCCCTGTCTTGCTCCCCGCATAGGCATGAGCAGGTCACCGCACCCCTGACATGCACCAGGCACATCTTCTCCTCTGGGCACCACATGGAGGCTGGGGGTCTGTGAGCTGGTCCCAGCTAGTTGATTGAGAGATTGGATGAGGAAGGACTGAGGATCCCCCGGTGCTTGCCTTGTGTGTGTGTGTGGGGAGAGCTGAAGGGCCCCTGCGGGAATTCTAGATGTTGAACACTCCCCTGACTGGCTGCCCAGGCCTGGTTTGAAAGTCACTCGCAGGAGATGAGGCTGCTGTGAGCCATCTAGGCTGGGTGCTGGCTGGAATTTGATTTGTGTTGCTATGGGGCACTGAGTAATTATGTACCATCATGGCTGGGGAGGCCATGGCCAGATCCTGCCTGGCTCATTTAATTGTCCTCTGTGCCAGGGCTCTGGTGAGGGGTTTCAGAGTCCTGTCCTGCTGTGTTGGGCAGTGACCAGACCCCATCCAGGGCAACTGTCCAGCCAGAGAGCCAATTCCAACCCTCAAGCAGGAGCGTGTGCAACCTGCTGCGTTCCTGTGAGCTGCATCCAACACTAGGAGGAGCGAAATGAACGCACAAGGGGTGTGAGCATGGTGCAGGCAAACTCACTGCCGGGCCCCAAGAAGAGCCTTGCTGCATTAGCTTGGCTCTCCCACCACCGTGTGTCAGATGGATGCGTGCACACACAATGTGCAATTGTGCAATCTTGATCAGATTTCATGCGCTAAACGGAGATAAACATGGCCAGCCCTCAGATAGGGAAACCTCCGCGCTGCCATGGTATCGATGCTCACTTTGGTGCCTTGTGTGAGGCTACGGGGTGCTACGCTGCTGGAGGGGCCATATTCCAATGTGAGGCAGTGCTGACAGCTGATCATTAATGATCGGTCCCACTCTTTGACAGGTGGGTGCTAAGCCTAGTGGTCTGGCCCAATTCCTAGCTACGTCCTGCCTACACCCAGCCTCCTTGCAGTGCCAGCTGGCTGCAGTTCTTCATGTGCTACCCTAGCGTGACTCTGATGTAGCTGTGCACTGCTCAGGCAGAGCATGCGCCACCCTATACGTGATGGTGGCAGCATCTCCTGTGCGTAGGCTTTGGTAGGATGGGAGATGCGCTAGATTCCTGAGCTCAGGGAGCTGAGCCGTGCTGGCCTGTCATTTGCATGAGGCATTTCAGCCAGTTTTCAGATGCTAAGGATGGCAGTGCTGTGCCCTGCAAGAGGGGAGTGTCTCTAGCCACACTGCTCCCCTCCTGGCTGGAGCCAGAGCCTGCTCTGAAAGAGCCTTTTGTGACTCTGTTTTCACACCTGCAGTGCATTCTGGGAGAGGGAACACGACTGCTTTAGCTGCTAAGCAAACACTGCAGTTTCACAGCCCTGTGAGCAGTTGCCCGACCAGAGGGCTATGGGGAAGCAATGTCCCTTCTCCAGTTCGGGCAGCTGGGGAGAGGGGGCTGGGGGGTACTGGGAAGGGTGTGCTCTTATTGCGTATTTCTGCTCTAAGGGTGGGGCCTGGCAGGCCCGTCTCACGTCTCTCCTGTGCCCTTGCAGGTGTTTACGGTGGAGGTCCTGTGCAATGGCCGGAAACATATCCTTGAGAAGCGCTACAGTGAGTTCCACGCCCTGCATAAAAGGGTGAGGGCCGGCCGGGCAAGCAGCTGGAATGGGGAACAGGGCTTAACTCCACGTTATCCACAGCAAACCCCGGGGAACTGATCTTTCCACTGCCACAGGGCTCAGCTGCTGCCTTTGGGGAATTCATCCCTGCAAACGTGTGCTGAATGGTAACACTTCCTCCACACGTGTGTCGCCAGCTGTTAGTCTGTCTCCCTGCCCATGTTCTGCTCCTCTGGGGTATGCTCGCGGATTGGACACGTGCCAGTTACAAGGGAAGCCACGTCTCTGCCTACAGCTGTGTGTGACTGGAACGGGGAGATAGGATAACATGGACCTCTGTGTAGTTCTCTTCCCCGCGCTGGACTGTGCCTGCCCTTCAGCCAGCACCAGATTAAGGCCTGGGCAGCATTGGCCTGCACTGAGTTGTTTACTCGCCCTCAGTGGTGTTTTTTTTTTTTTTAAATTTTATTTAAAGGGGCTTGAAAATATGGCGGAATGTAATTGACATGGCGACACCTGCCTGAACCTGGGCTCGTTGCTGTGAGAAGGGGACCTGCGTTATCTCACTGGGGTGTTCATGCAAACCCCCTCAGGGTCTTACCAGCACCACCCTGATAGAGGATCCTGGCAGGAGGGGAGGAATGCAGGGGCTCACCCAAGCAGCTGAGGTGTAATATTGGAGAGGGTGGGGCATACTGCCACCCCTGCTGGTGCTGGGGAGAGAAGAGACCTTTGCAGCTCCTGAGGGGGTTCAGTGCTGCTGTGTGTCAGAGAGGGGAGGGGTCCTCATGCCATGGTGTGGCTGGGGCCAGGATCTTGCCTGCATGGTGTGGAGCATGGATCCCCAGAGCAGAGCCTCTAGCCCAGGGCCCCACAGGACCCTGGCGTCCTGTGGCTTCAAGCAGCAGGTGGGCTGTGACTTAGTCTGATAGTAATGCCACGTTCTGCCCTAGATAAAGAAGATGTGCAAGGTCCCAGATTTCCCCCCCAAGCGAGTCCCCAACTGGATATCAAAGGTGCAGGAGCAGCGGCGGCAGGGCCTGGAGGTTTACATTCAGGTAGGATGTTTCCCCGCAGCCCACGCCTGGGACTCTGCCACTGGTGACTCCTGGGCTGGGTTTGAGCCCCCTGGAGTGGATTTGGGCTTGCTCCCTTAGAAAGGCCCAACATGTTTTTTGTTGGGGTGTCCTGCCGCCAGGGGGCAAGGGGCTCTGGTGAGGTCTAACCTGCCCCCTGTGTTTGCTGCAGGGTGTCCTGTACTACAACAAGGAGCTGCCTAAGGAACTGCTGGACTTCCTGAAGCTCAGGCACTTTCAGCAGGATGCCAAGGCCAGCAGCCTGGAGTGAGTATCCTGAGGCCTGGGGCACCCACTGGTGGAAGCCAAGGTCTCCTATGAACTTGGGACATCAGGGAGCTCAAGCGATTCCTTGGTGCCCTCCCTGGGCATGGGAGGGGCTGGTGGGGTTAGTGTTCATGTGAGGCAGCACTGCCTAGTGGCTGGAGCCACTAGCTTCTAATCCCACCTCTGCCAGTGACTTGCTAGTGACCCTGGAAAGGTACCATCCCCTCTCAAATGCTGTTTCCCCACCTGAGAAATGTGGCTAACTGCTCATGCTCCCTGGGAGGGACCAGAGAGGGACAATGTGTTACAATGGGGATTTCTTCTTTTGTTTGCCCGGCCTCTCACCTGTGCAGCAGAGCAGTTCTGTGCCTTTCCAGCAGGGGGCTGTCCTAGCAGCCCTGCCCTTAGTGCACCAGTACAGGGCTCATCAGCTGCAGCTCTTAGCAGCTATTGAACTGTGTTTGCCGACCCAGGGCAGACTTAAATTCAGGCAACTACTGCCTGTGTGCAAACTCGGCCATAGATGAGATGAACCTGGTCCCTCCCTCAGCTCTGCCTAACATACAGGAGAGGGGAGCACCTGTCTCCCCCCACCACAAAGGGCCTGGGCCCTTCACTCCCCTGGCTCTGTTTTCTTGCAGCTCCCTGTGTGACTTAATCTGAGGAGGGAGAAGTTGCTCTTCTGCCTCCTCCCAGTGCTAGGGGTGGGGCTTTGCTCCAGCTGCAGGGGGCTGGTGGCAGGGCTCCCAGTTGCTGGCCAACCTCCTCAAGCTCTGGATGGGGTTCCTAGCTTGTGGGCTCGTTGCCAGAGACCCCTCCCGCCTGCGCTGGCCTTCTCTCTGCTAGCTGGGCCACCTGCAGGGCAAGGGCACCCCCTGGTGGCTGGCTGCTTCTAGAGCAATTCTCCCAGCAGTGGAGGCTCAGCTGCCTTGTCAAACGGCTTGGAGTTATTGTCCCCCCACCCTCCACTGGTTCAGTTGAAAGAAACAGCCCCACCTTCCAACTGCTTTGTCGAGATCCCTGTGGGTAAGGGAATCCCCTGCTATCTGGGAGAGCCGATATACTGACAGGGAGCCTGCGCCCCCCAGCAGCCTTGTCCTCCCCCCTCTACCCCCAATGGCGGAAGATGGACTGCACTAAGGAGCCCCCTTATAGAGCAAAAGAGAATCTGCCCTGGATCCACAGGCAGAGGAGAGCCCCACTGGGCACGAGCGAACCTGTGCCCCCTGCCCAATCCCATTCTGATGGGCGAGGACCCACCTTGCCAGGACCCAGGCACTGGAGAGGCAGTGTGGGGGCAGTCTGTCAGGCTGCTCTCACTAGCCACTCATGTCACTGCCCAAGAAGGAGCCAGGTCCTCATCTGCCTCTCTCATTGCAGCCACGGCTTCCTGCTCTCCCACCGGCCGGTTATGATCTTCCACAAAGATCCCTACGTGCTCCCCTCCTCCACAGGTAAGGCAGGGGGCACTGGGGTCCTGGGGCAGGCGATGCAAGCGATGCAATGGAAATGCTGTGTCCTGGGCTGAAGGCATGGATTCCTCTGCTCCTGGGCAGGCTGCTGCCAATGGCCTCTTCTGAGTGTTCGCCGCTCCCAAAGGAATGCTGGCATCCTGCAAGCTGGTTCCCTTTACAAAGGAGGGGTGTCCTGTGAGGTGCTGCCCCTCTGCTCATCTTCTCTTACCTTTGTAGCAAAACTGCCCCTTGGCAGTGAACTTGGCCAGCGCCTGAGACTTAAACCCTACAACTGCTCCCTGCACAGTGGCCGTTCAGTGTTACTGGGAGCAGAGCAGGACCCACCTGCTTTCCCAAAAGGCACATTTCACAAAACCAAGAGCAACAAAGGTCTCAATGGGGCCTGAACTCTTTCCCCTCTTGTGCAGTCCAGCTGCTGCAGCCTGGCAGGAACGTCTTCAGGAGAAAAGAGATTTTTCTAACCACCCGAAGCCCACCCCCTGCCCCATCCTTCCCTAGAAGGCTGGGAAGAGGGCAAAGGCCCTGGTGAGAAGATGTAAAAACAAAGTTTGCTGCCCACAGCTGCACTGTCCAGAACAATGGCCTGGGGCTGTTGAGGTTTTAAGGGGAAGTTTTTGCCAAATTTTGCAGTGGGGTCTATTCTGCTGCCCTAATCCTCCCCCCCCCAGTTGTTTCAGAAGTATGCAGTACTCTTATTTCCTACCATGCAGTGCTGCAGGCTGCTGTTAGACATGCTCTACTTGGGTGTGAAGTGCTTTTGCATATAGGGATGGGGCTAATATGTGTCCTGGGGGTACCATACAGCCTAGAACCTGGCTCAGCTTGTAAAGGGCTTCTTGGAGCCCTTGAGCCCAGCTGGGCCAGTGGGGCGGATGGAATAGGTTAGCTGCAGTTCATTCGGCCGTCTCTCCCTTCCAAGGGGATCTGATGCCCTGCAGCCCTGTCTGGTCAGCAAGGCTGGAAACTGGAACAGTGGGCAGCTGTTGGGCTGTCATCTGGTTCTGAATCTTAATGTAAGAGGGTGTGGAGCTGAATCTGGTATCCAGTCCCCCTTTAATTCCTGCAGGCTAGATCGCTGCAGTGGGACTGGAACCCTGCAGGACCTGCTGCTGTAATAGCAGGAATGAGATTTAAAAAAAAATCCCCTGCAGAGCTCTGCTCCCAGAGTCTGGTCTAGTTCCAGTCTTCCTGCTGCTACTGAGAAACAGCTGTGCTTTTAACCCCTTTCCTCTCCTGTTTTGCAGAGCTGCTGCCAGACATAGTTCTGAGTGGTGTGTTACAAGGCTTCTACCGACCAGCAAGCTCCTGCTGGGGGAAGGCAGCCCCAAAGTGCTTGGTGGGGCCCCACATGCTTAGCCAGCATGGCTCATGAGGGTATTCTCCACTGCTCGGGCTTCACCAGCACCATTACTGGAGGGGGAGCACTGCTTGGTTGTCCCATTTAGGGATCGCTCCTGTATCTCAGTGGCTGTACCTTCCCTTCTCCTGGGATTTGTTCCTGCCCTCCGCACACAAGGGGTGATGGACAAAATGGGGAGCTGCTGCTGAGCCTGGGGGCAGGTGCTTCACACACATGGAGGTTGGGCTGAAAGCTCATTGAGCACTTGTAATGAACAGGACAGCTGTCAGGCCAGACCCTAACTGCTCCACCAGTGCCATCTCTGGCCACAGCTCCAAAAAGCAAGAGAGGCCAGAGCCACAGCAAGCGGAAATGCTGCTACCTGCACTCTGGCTGGGGGGGGGGCAGTGCCTTATGCCAACCGCAGCAGCTCCTGCCAGGCTAGATGGAGCCTATGGGGGGAGGAGGTGGTGTCCCAGACCCATGTAGAGCCCCCAGGGGAAGGGCTGGCCTCCTGCAGGATAAAGGGAGCTGTGCAGATGTGTATTGGCAATAAATCACTCGGGTCTGGTTTGGAGATGGCTGCTGTGCTGTGTTTATCTGGGCCTAAGGCCTATAAAGAGCTGTGTCCTGGGTGTGACATGCCCTGTTCGGCCTCTCAGCCAAGGGGTGAAAGAGGACAAAAGCCTAGTTGCAACTACTGGATGTTCTCATGAACAAGGTCAGTCAGCCTCACCTCAGTCCCTGGAAAAATCATGGAGCAGGTCCTCAAGGGATCCATTCTGAAGCACTTAAAGGAGAGGAAAGTGATCAGGAACTGTCAGCATGGATTCACCAAGGGCAAGTCATGCCTGACTAATCTAATTGCCTTCTATGACGAGATAACTGGCTCTGTGGATGAACGGAAAGCAGTGGACGTGTTGTTCCTTGACTTTAGCAAAGCTTTTGACAGTCTCCCACAGTATTCTCGCCAGCAAGTTAAAGAAGGTTGGGCTGGATGAATGGACTATAAGGGGGATAGAAAGCTGGCTAGATTGTCGGGCTCAACGGGTAGTGATCAATGGCTCCATGTGTAGTTGGCAGCCAGTATCAAGTAGAGTGCCCCAGGGGTTGGTCCTGGGGCCGGTTTTGTTCAATATCTTCATAAATGATCTGGAGGATGGTGTGGATTGCACCCTCAGCAAGTTTGCAGATGACACTAAACTGGGAGGAGTGGTAGATACGCTGGAGGGGAGGGATAGGATACAGAGGGACCTAGACAAATTGGAGGATTGAGCCAAGAGAAATCTGATGAGGTTCAGCAAGGACAAGTGCAGAGTCCTGCACTTAGGATGGAGGAATCCAATGCACCGCTACAGACTAGGGACCGAATGGCTAGGCAGCAGTTCTCCAGAAAAGGACCTAGGGGTTACAGTGGACGACAAGTTGGATATGAGTCAGTGTGCCCTTGTTGTCAAGAAGGATAATAGCATTTTGGGGTATATAAGTAGGGGCACTGCCAGCAGATCGAGGGACGTGATTGTTCCCCTCTATTCGACAGTGGTGAGGCCTCATCTGGAGTACTGTGTCCAGTTTTGGGCCCCACACTACACGAAGGATGTGGACAAATTGGAAAGAGTCCAGCGGAGGGCAACAAAAATGATTAGGGGACTGGAACACATGACTTTATGAGGAGAGGCTGAGAGAACTGGGGATGTTTAGTCTTCAGAAGAGAAGAATGAGGGGGGATTTGATAGCTGCTTCCAAAGAAGATGGCTCTAGACTGTTCTCAGTGGTAGCAGATGACAGAACAAGGAGTAATGGTCTCAAGTTGCAGTGGGGGAGATTTAGGTTGGATATCAGGAAAATCTTTTTCACTATGAGGGTGGTGAAACATTGGAATGCATTACCTAGGGAGGTGGTGGAATCTTCTTCCCGAGAAGTTTTTAAGGTCAGGCTTGACAAAGCCCTGGCTGGGATGATTTAGTCGGGGATTGGTCCTGCTTTGAGCAGGGGGTTGGACTAGATGACCTCCTGAGGTCCCTTCCAACCCTGATATTCTATGATTCTAAGGTACTGGGCAGAGCTCCACCACTGGGTGCATTGCCTGTGCCACACCTTCACCAAGGGGGAAATGAACAGGTCCCAGGGACTGTACTAACAGGAGCAGGAAGTGCAGCCCCCACCAGAGGCACCACGCTGCAATACAGGGGGAGGTGCAGACACCAGCCCTGGCCTTGCCTGAGGTCCAAAGCAGATCATGTGCCTCCAAGCTCTCTGTTCAAATGCCTTAGCCACAGTAGTGGGGCATAAAAGCAGCAAAAGGCTGGTTGTTGCCCTGCTCAGGCAGAAGGGCCTGGGAAGAAGCTATTTATGTAGGGGCGCATTCAGACCTTACAGGAAGCGCACTTCAGGCAGTCCTATAAAAAACACACTGATCACATTTATTGGTGCATGTGCTTCTTACAAAAGTGATGGACCCACACCCCGTCTGCTGGCCAGGTGGAATGTGTTGGGTCACAGAGAACAGGAGGAGAGGCCGGGCAGGTTGGTGGCAGAGTACAGCTGCTGCTCACCCAGACGGTAGCTAGATCCAAGGAGCCCTATGGAGCATCACAGCCCGCAGCCCCTCACAGGCCAGCCCTGGCCGCACGGTTCTGCCCTGGTGCTTGGGCAGGATGGTTTACTCTTTGGCAATGGCAAATGGTTTCTCCACCTCGATGGTGCCACAGTCAGCAATGGTGACATCCTTCAGGGGCTTGTCCTGAGCGTCCGTCTTGGTCTGCTCCACCTTCTTCACCACATACTAGGGGACACCCACAGTGAGGATGGGATGTCCCTGTGCACAGGGTCCCCTGACAGCCAAAGCTGAGAGGGGTGTTTCCACCCCTTCCCCAGCTGGCAAGCTCCAACTTTAACTCCCAGCTGTTCCCTTGTCTCACCTCAGGCCTGCTCCAGAAAATATAGAAAAGGAGCCTCCTCTCCCAGGAGCCAGGACAATACTAGACTCACCCCCCTCAGCCTTTGTTTCCAGAGACACAGCAGCCATGGGCTCTGTCTGGCGCTCTAGCAAGGTCTAACATGCAGCCCAGGCCCCATTCCCTCAGGGGCGCGCACAGCCAACTGCGCATCAGCCATGCCAGGGAGGGTGCTTCCCCCACCCCACATCACCCCTGGGCATCTCCCCTCCACCCCACCAGGGATGTGGCTTTCTCCTTACCATCCCTTCCAGGATTTTGCCAAACACAACATGCTTGCCATCCAACCAGGAGGTCTTGACTGTGGTGATGAAGAACTGGGAGCCGTTGGTGTCCTTGCCAGCATTGGCCATACTGACCCAGCCAGGTCCATAGTGCTTCAGCTTGAAGTTCTCATCAGGGAAACGGTCACCATATATACTCTTGCCTGGCAACGAGAGAAGAGGAGCAGCTTACAGTCATGGGTTCCATGCAGGTCAGCTCCCACTGCTAGCACCAGACGAGCATATTAGCACATCCAGAGAGGCAGCAGCCTCCATCAGGGAGAAGAGACCGCATCTACCCCCATCATGCAGGGCTCAGCTCCTCAGTGAGGCTGCTGGGAAGTCTTCCCTCCATCTACAAGAACCAACACACCCTCTGGGAGGGAGGGGAAGTGCCACAGATATGGGTAGGGAGCCCCATGCTGGCAGGCTAGGGGTGCACTGAGCTGTGGCCGAGAGCAGTGCTGTGGTTGACAGGAGCATGGGCACTTTCAAAACACACAAGGATGGGTCACGCTCCATGGACAGCTCCCAGGGCAGGAGCCAGGGGACACCCACCCTCTGCAAGTCACAATACAGATATGCAGCAATGAGCTAGTCTTTGCTTAAACAGCAGTGGCTCAGCTTTAGGAATGAACAAGAGGGAAGGGTCCCAGGCAGAAGCCCTCCTAGTTCCTGTGTAAGGAGCGCTGGCCAGGGCTCCCCGAGGGAGACTGAACTATTAAGGGAATCTAGTGCTCATACTGTGCCACGTGCCTGCCTGGCTGCTAGTGCAAGGGTCAGGGTAGGGAGCAGAGACACACTGCAACAAGGGGCAGCTGCTAGAACTAGTCAGCGGGAGCAGAAGTGACTAAGTGACCCTTGGGGGAGCTTGTTGTCTGTTCGCTTGCTGTGTGCCTCATTGATTGAAGTTCATGGTGTGGTTGGTTTGTCTTGGGGGGCAGAGTGCTAAGCCTAGCCGCTTGCGAGGCCAGGCTGGGAGCTTCTTAATAAGGTTCTAGCCTGCCAGCCTCTCATTCCTAATCCCATGAATAGTCCTGCCCCTTTGTCAAGGGACCCTAAAGGAGAACAGGGGGTTAAAAAGCCAACTCCTAAGCAACCAGAGGAGCTAGCGAACAGCAGAGTTTTGGAAGGGACTTTAGAGGAGTGTGAGGACCAGATCCCCTCATGTTCTGCCAATCAAACTTCCCTCTCCCCCCACTCCAAAAAAAAAAAAAAAGCTGCAAGAGTAAAAATAATGCAGGCAGAAGTCCAGCAGCAGAGTGGGGGCTACCCAGTTTATTGCACTGAATGCAGCATGTTTGATTACCTGCCTTGTGAGTAGGTGGCACATGTGCATTTAGTGCAAGCAGCTCACAGCCCTTAGAGACAGAGTACAGGCCCTTGAGCCCAGAGTGGCTGAACTGGAGGAGCTAAGGGAGACAAAGGTACACAGACACTTTCTGGGACCCAGGAGAGCAGCCCCACCGCCCAGTCTGACAGCCTCTGTGCTGCTGAGGAGGATGAAAGCCCTGGAGAAAGAGAACATCAAAGTGGAGCAAAGGGAAACGATCCCATGACTGGGACCCTCCTTCGAAATAATGTCATGGTGTTCTCTCGCATTGAGGATGCCCCCTCCAGGGGAGGGAACCCAGTTATTAGGAAGAGACAGTAATAGTAATGGGGGATTTGATCATTAGAAACACAAACAGCTGGGTTTGTGATAACCAGGAGAACTGCATGGTGAAGTGCCTACTGGGTGCAAAGGTTGTAGCTCTCTCAAGACATCTAGCTAGATTAATACGCAGTGCTGGGGAGGAGCCAGTAGCCGTGGTACATGTAGATACCAGTGACACAGAGAAGATAGGAGAGAGGTTCTGGAGGCCAAATTTAGGCTGCTAGGTACCTCCATGGTGGCTGCCAGGTACCTCCATGGTAGCATCCTCTGAAATGCTTCCAGTTCCATATGCAGGGCCAGTTAGCCAGGCATAACTGCAGAGTGTCAATGCGTGAATGAGACAATGGTGGAGGGAGGAGGGTTTTAAGTTTTATTAGGAACCGGGGAACCTTTTGGGGAAGGAGGAGGCTACACAGGAAGGACGGGCTCCACCTAGTCCAAAATGGAACCAGACTGTTGGCAGGTAAAATTAAAAAGGTTGTAGATGAGTTTTTAAGTTAAGGGCTGGGGGAAAGCCAACAGGTATATGGTGTATATATACACGCAGGCACATGGTTTGGACAGAGATTTCTCTTAGGGGAGGATCTATTAACGAGGATTTTCTGTTACCTAATAAAGAGGAGAGGATAGAAGTTGAGAGAGTACAGGTGGGAGCTGAAGAGAAAGTCAAAGGAGAAGGAGTCCCATTCAGTTACATCAC